CCAGTGGAATTCTGTTGGTTTGCTCCCTATACTTCTGTTAGTCTTAAAGGTGCCACAGGACTCTCTGTTCCCCGATCCAGGAAAGCACTTAAACATATTGCTTGGTTTTACTCATGTCAATAATCCTATTGAATTCAGATGCTTAAAATAGTATATGGTTCAGTAGTTTGCTGAACCTTTTTTCAGAAGATTAGCTGGCATGTTCCTATCTAAACACAGTTGTTTTCTTTTTACGATAGAACTTTACATCCTTAAATAGTTGGAATAATCTGAATTTATTTTAGTTAATGCTCTGCTGACTTTGACAGGTGAGGCACAAATCACAAAGTAGTTATTTCCACCCCCACCTGATGTATAATTAGTAGCTATTAAAAGCTTACCTGATTTATAGTTAAGAAGCAAGACGTGGAACTGGAGCTGCCACCACCGCTCCCCGGGCTGGCATGGGAGAAGAGCATGAGGCAGTTCCAGGGCTCGGCGGCAGCTCCTCATGTATATGCATGACACCCCCCCCCAATGGGAGAGAGGGCCAGGACGGCCCCCCCCCCCCCACCAGATCCATCCCCGGCCCTTGCAAGTCCCCTGCAGCCTGGGCTCAACTGCTGCAGTCCTCCTATGGGCTCACCAAGCGGTAGTTACCACAGCAGACCCCTTTTAAAGTGACTCCTGGGTGTGGGAAATTGTCATGGTAACAAGTCAGCTTCTTGCACTATTAGCTATACCAAGGTTTGAGCCTTACGCAGCATTACATTCTTCAAACTCTTTGGCATTGCGTTTTGCGACTGGAGAGAGTGAGTTGTGACATTTAAATCAAATCACAATTTGTCCTTCAATCTGTATATATTTATGAATTAAATAAAAAAGGAATATACACAATATGTTTTGTAACTTTTGGGAATTCTTGGTTAGGCTGTGCCTCACTTGCCTGGGCTGATGAGCTGCCCCTGAAGTGCTGCAAGACTAGTCCCTCGAGGGGGTTCCAATATTCATTTTACTGTACCAAGTGACTTCAGCACCTCTCTCTGGTCAGAGGTCCCACATAGCCTGCTTCTGTGTGAGCCACTCTTCACAACTGCCATGGAACATTTCCCACCCAGCAACTTATATCTCTCCAACAGATTCATGGCCCTGCCTTCTGCTGACCTACTACTGTTCAGCAAGTTCATCACCTCATTTTCCTTCTGCAAATGAGAGAAAAGTCATAATGAACCCAATCCTACTAAACATATCCTGGAAATTGAGGGTGTTCTTCACATTCCAGGAAGTGTCCAGAAGCTTGCAGAGTTGTACCTGAAGTCACAGTCCACTGTTTAGATTAATTATATTTTCCCATTTTAGAAAGTTTTTCAAATTTTTCATAAATGTCACCTAAATAGAAACATTAACTTAAATGGGTATTGGGCATGCAAATCCCTTAGCCATATTTGAAAACCTCTGCATAAATTCTTAACATGGTAGAAGGGAATGGCAAAGGCATGTTCTTGAGCATACTTAATGGTTTATACATTACTCTTTCAAACATGCTTATTTTTCTTGGTTCATCAGTGGTTTGGAGTGGTGTCCAAAATGTTGCATTTTTTTGGTGAAGTAGAAATGTTATACTAGTGAAACATTAACCATGTGCAGCCTTTTATAAGAAAAGTTTTAAAATTCCAGGGACTATTAGGAATCATAAATTGTGTGGTTAGTATTTTTGGCTCTATAATAACTTTCTTACATTTCAAATTTTTCTCCAGGTGTTGCTGGTCTTCTGAAGTGGTCAACCAGATTCCCTTAAAGTGGTCGTCTGAGTTATAACACAGGTGAGTAAAAGAAATTCAGATTGCATTAGCTATTGTTTCCATGTTTTGTGAGGCCTTGAAGTTGGGTAACTACTTAATAGATGGAAGATGGCTAGATTCTTCTCATTTTAAAGATCCCTTTTTAGCATTAAATATCATTCATCTGATCATAAGCACTGATAGAGTACACCAAAGCTTTAAGGAAGTTACAGAAGACAAGAACTTGGTGACTACTTAACAAAAATAAATAAAAGAATAAAAAGCCTTAGTTTTCAATGCATTAGAAAATCTCGTATTTGAATGATTGAACCTAAATATTTCAAATAGGTGAGTTACAGCAGCACCTGGTGCAACACTAGTATATGTTGAGATGTGTTGTATTTAGTATAACTGGTGCCTGAATATGAAATTACAAGAGTCATGAAAGTATATAGGATAAATAATTTTTGTTTAACATTTGTGAAAATAGTTCTGATGGAACATACCTATAAATACAGAGTGAGTTAAGGAATTACAGCAAACTGAGTTTACTTGTAATAGAAACTTTATATTTATTTCAGGGTTCTTAAACTTTTATTTTGTGTCTCTTTTTAAAGATTTATCATCTCATGTATCCTCTCCTCTCTATTGAAAATCCCTCATGTCTCGTGTGGCAACACAGGAGGAATAAGCTTTTAAAAATTCATTATTAATTGAAATTTATTGAAGAAATTTTTGTAAGCATCTTACAAAATCTTAACTCTCTCCAATATGGTACTTTTAAAAAAATGATGCAAAAGAAATTTGTTGCTCCAATTGAGAATTAACTGGTGGTGAGTAGAGGAGAATTTCCATGCACACTATACATCTTATACTTTTGCCTTTTTGGTAGTATCATATACTTGAGTATCATATTAAATTATGTGAACCAACTTTACATTTATCCTTACTGAATCGTATTTGACTTCAGCTCACTGCCCTAATTTATCAAGATGATGGTTAGGATTGATGATCTTGACAAACTGGAGAAATGGTCTAAAATAAATAGGATGAAATTCAATAAGGAGAAATGCAAAGTACTCCACTTAGGAAGGAATTGCACAATATAAAACAGGAAATGACTGCCTAGGAGTACTGTAGAAAAGGATCTGGAGGTTATAGTGGATCACAAACTAAATGAGAATCAATAATGTAATACAGTTGCAAATAAAAAACAAACAAACCCACAACATTCTGGGATGTCTTAGCAGAAGTGTTGTAAGGAAGACATGAGGAGTAATTCTTCCATTCTACTCAGCGCTCATAAGGCTTCAAGTGGAGAACTGTGTCCAGTTCTGAACACCACACTTTGGGAAAGATGGACAAATTGGAGAATTTCCGGAGGAGAGCAACAAAAATGATTAAAGGTCTAAAAAACATGACCTACAAGGATATTGCAAAAATTGGGTTTGTTTAGTCTAGAGAAGAGAAGACGGTGGAGGAGGGGGATGTAACAGTCTTCAAATACATAAAAGATTGTTATAAAGAGGAGCATGGTAAATTGTTCTTAACTGCTGAGGACAGGACACGTAGTAATGGGCTTAAATTGCAGCAGGGGAGATTTAGGTTAGACATTAGGAAAAACTTTCTAACTGTAAGCATAGTTTAAGCACTGGAACAGATTACTTTGGGAGATTGTGGAGTCTCTGTCACTGGAGGTTTTTAAGAGCAGATTGGACAAACATCTGTCGAGATGGTCTAGATAATACTTATTCCTGCCACAGTGCAAGGGACTGGACTAGATGACCTTTCAATGTCCCTTCCAGTCCTACGTTTCTATGATTAATCTTGACTTTCACAGTGTTTGCAATCCCTCCCATCTTTTAGCATTTACAGATATTATTGCATGTACCACTCTGACTGAGGATAAATAGAATAGATAATGGTGTTTGGTTCAAAAGGTACCCATCTGTGTCATCAAGGTGCATCTTTAATTACCCTCTGTATTCTGATGTTTTAGGCTATTGCATTCATATCCTACAGGTCATAATTTGTTAGTTTAGCTTTCCACTCCTTATTGCTATTGCTAGAGTTCCAAGGGCAACACAAATGAAAGATAATGAGCATCCCTTGCCTATTTTTTTTCATATTCCCTCTTTCTATTATGGCCTCTGGATAGCTATATGCTTGTGATTTTTGTTGTTTGTTTATTTTCTAAAAACAGGATTAATCCCAAACTTTTTGGTGGGGAGGAGTATAAGTAGTTTACCAACAGGAACATCATCTAGAACTGCATACGATTATTTCCTAAAGTAAATTTATAGTGGTGTGGAAGTGTCACTATAGTTAAGGTTGCATCATGACATCTGTTTTAAGACATTGTCTTCTAAAATCGACATGCTTAGTCAGTTTTCTTTGTTGTGTCTCGGAAGGGTGCAAGGTAAGGTTAGTGACCCAAATTTGGAGTCATTTGAGCCAGCAGTTCTGGAGATGTAAGCCCCCCAAAATAACCATTTAAAAAAAATTCTAGGTGGGATTTTCACCCCAGAGCTAAAGATCAAACTATTTATGTGATTGGGTCAAAATGGTCTCAATCTGTTGAGTTTTATCCAAGGTAGTAAATGGCACCCACTAAATCTTTGGGGGACCCAAACCGAAAACAGTATTTAAGAAAATGTACATTTTTTACACTATGCATGAACCAATACAAAAAAACTGGAGGAGTGGAAACCCTTTAGCTATTTTATTTGCTTTAAACTTGACTCTTCTAAGTGCTCTAAAATCCAGACAGTTACCCAGACCTTGTCTACACTGGCAAGTTTCTGCACAGTAAAGCAGCTTTCTGCACTTTAACTCCCGAGGTGTACACACTGCCAAGCCACTTAGTGTACAGAAGCTGCGCAGTTGTAGCGCTCGAAAAAACCCACTCCAACGAGAGGCATACAGCATTCCGTGACGGGGCCACAGCGCAGTGGTGCCAGTGTAGACACAATGACGATTACAGTGCTGCGATTTGCCTCCGGGAGGTGTCCCACAATGCCTGTTCTCACCTCTCTGGTCATCGGTTTGAACTCTACTGCCCTGACCTCAGGTGACCAAGCGTCACCCCCATCCCGTACATTCCTTTGCACATTTGAAAGTCCCCTTCCTGTTTGCTCAGTGATGCGTGCAGTGGTCTCAGCGCATCTTTCCAGGTGGCCATGCCTGCTCCATGCACCAGGCGATCCCCCGCTTGGAGCATGCTGGACCTCATCAGCCGAGCTACTGGACCTCATCAGCATTTGGGGAGAGGAGACTGTCCAGTTGTAACAATGCGGTTCTGGCAGGACCGAACTGAGAGTGCCAATTCAGGACCAATTGCTTAAAACAGGGCAGTTACAGCCCAAGGCTGGGGTTTTTCCACCTCCAAGGCAAACCAAACCAGCCAGACAAAGAGGACTTTGGTCTCACCCCACTGGCTAACCACAAGTCACACAAACAATTCCCTTAGACACTCCAGTTTCCCAGTATCACCACCAGTAGCACTCGTTATGGGGACAAATGGTTATGAAAACCAATACCCCAGTAAAAGAAAAATGGTTCTCCTGATCCCAAAGGATCAAGCCCCAGACCCAGGTCAATATACAGATTAGATCTTACCCATAAATCACGCTGTTGACAATCCTTTAGAATCTAAAATCTAAAGGTTTATTCATAAAAGGAAAAAGATATAGATGAGAGCTAGAATTGGTTAAATTGAATCAATTACATACACTAATGGCAAAGTTCTTGGTTCAGGCTTGTAGCAGTGATAGAATAAACTGCAGGTTTAAAATCAAGTCTCTGGAGTACATCCACAGCTGAGATGGGTCATTCAGTCCTTTGTGTAGAGCTTCAGTTTGTAGCAAAGTCCCTCCAGAGGTAGGAAGCAGGATTGAAGACAAAATGGAGACGAGGCATCAGCCTTTTATAGTCTTTTCCAGGTGTAAGAACACCTCTTTGTTCTTACTGTGGAAAATTACAGCAAAATGGAGTCTGGAGTCACATGGGCAAGTTCTTGCATACTTTGCTGAGTTACAAGGCGTATTTGCCTTCTCTCCATGGGTCAGTTGTATAGCTGATGGTCCTTAATGGGCCATCAAGCAGGCTAGGCAGAGCTAACACCAACTTGTCTGGGATGTCTCCCAGAAGCATAGCATAAGTTTGAAATACAGACAGTTTAGAGCCAATATTTATAACTTCAACTACAAAATTGATACACGCATGTAGACAGCATAATTATAACCAGTAAATCATAACCTTGTCTTAGACACCTCATTTGACCCCCTTTATACAAGATTTGGTGCCACTACAGGACTTTGGTTTCAACCATGTTCTATATGGTCCCAGATTATATCAATAATGTCACACTAGTCCTAGTTGCACTCCAGCCGTAGGAATTTTGATACCTATGGACAGATTTTACGATGGATGATAGAAAGGGGCCATGACCGGGACACACTGCAGTGCAGGATAAAAGTGAAGTTGCTGCGGAACACCTACCAGAAGGCGCAGAAGGCAAACTGCTGCTCCGGTGCTGCGCCCACGAGCTGCTGGTTCTACAAAGAGCCGGACACGATACTCGGTGGCGACCCCACCTTCACTGCTAAGGCCCCTCGGGATACTTCGTTGGCTTGCGTGCCAGTCAAGAGTGGACTGAGCCAGGAGGAGGAAATCTTGGATGAAGAGTGGGAGGAGAACCCAGAGGCAGAGGAAGACTCAGAGGTCAGAGATGCATGCAGCCAGGAGCTCTTTTCTACCCTGGAGGAGCCTAGGCAGTCACAGCAGTTGGATCTAGGCAAAGCGCAAACAGGAGAGGAGGCCCTTATAAGAGAATCTGATTTTGGGAATTGCTGAAGCGAGTTGTTGGGGGCTGGAGGGTTGCAGAAAGCAGGCTTGTCTCCCACCGCATGCCTACTCTCAGCAGTGGAACAGGGTGTTGATTGACTCCCTCACTTCATGGGAATCTCCTCTGCAGAGCTGCTTTGTTTCTTGCCCCGTTAACGGTAACTTTCCCGCACCACTGTGCCGACACAGGGTGGGGG